CGGGGCACCCTCGAGAACGAAAGGAACACGTGGCATCACCGGGGACTGTCCCAGGCCTGCCAGGCCACAGCTCAGGCTGTGCTGCCACTGAGCCTCCGGGTGGCCGTGCCGGGAGGAAACACCTGCCACTCTCACCTGACGAACCAGACCCCGTCTAGACCTCGTGGCGGCCACCCTAACGAACCCACTGCTGCCTTTGAAGCTGGTCGTATATAGAGTCCCAAGCTGATCGGCTTTGGCGTGGGGGGAGAGGGGGTGTTGTGGCAGCCGGGTGCTTCCAGACTGTGAGCCCTGAGCGGTAACTTGTCCCCTGGTGCTGGGCACGGGGGTCCTTGGACGCAGAAGCTGCCCTCTGGGTGGGCTTCCGTCTGGACTCTGCTTTCTGGGACCCGGGATTCAGAAGCTTTCTGAAAAGTCACTCGAGCAGCCTACCTGCTGTTCCCCCGGCATGGGGTGTCCTGGCTAAAAAGTCAGCCCCTGTCTCTCTCACGCTCTGGACTCGGGTGGCCCGTGGCCAGACTGCTGCGAAAAGTGGCCGGGCCAGCAAAAAGCAGTTTTGGAACAGTTGCCCCTAATAGCGTTCGTAAAAGTGATTTTAATGAAGCGTCCTATGGTTTTGCCCCCTCCTGTCCGCGGTTTCGCGTTCCGCGGTCTCGGCTATCCGCGGCCAGCCGCCGTGCGGGAAGCACATGGTCCTCTAGAACATCAGCCTCACCCTGTGTCACACCTTTGTCCCTCGCCTCACGTCCTTTTACCACGTGGGCGTTTTACCACATCACATCATGACACGAAGAAGGGTGAGGACAGGGTGTTTTGAGAGAGAGAAACGACGTTCACGTAACCTTCCTTGGCATGTACTACATTTGTCCCGTTTTATTATTAGTTATTGTTAACCTCCTGCGTCTAGTTGATCAATCAGACTTTATCGTAGGATCATAGGTGTGTAAAACAGAAAAGCCAGCAGTGTGTTTCGAATTCAGTACACTCTGGCTTCGGGCACCCACTCGGCAGGGGGGGTGGTCTTGGAACATACCCCTCTTGGATCAGCGGTGGGGGGCTGCTGTGCTTTTCTCTGCCAGGGTTTTGGGCCTCATCTGACAGAGTTATTCTGAAGTCTTTTATTGCTTTTGTTGTTTTAAGTGTGTATTTTGGGCTGTTGGTTACGGAGTATATGAGTTTCTAGAGCCGTGGTCACAAAACACCCCAGACAGCGTGGCTTAAAGACACATTCACTGCCTCCTGGTCCTGGAGGCCGGAAGCTGGAGGTGCAGGCACGGGCAGGGCCTGGTCCTCCCGAGTCCTCTCTCCTTGTGTGTGGTCCCTCTGTGCCTGTCTGTGTCCTGATCTTCTCCTATAAGTATCCTAGTCATACGGGGCTAAGGTTCATCTTACTCACCATGTTTTAACATAATTACCTCTTTAATGTCTGTATTTTTGAGAGAGAGAGAGAGAGAGAGAGCACAAGTGGGGGAAAGGCAGAGAGAGAGGGAGACGCAGAATCCGAAGCAGACTCCAGGCTCCGAGCTGTCAGCCCAGAGCCCGACGCGGGGCTCGAACCCACAGACCGCGAGATCGTGACCTGAGCCGAAGTCGGACGCTCAGCCGACTGAGCCCCCCGGGTGTCCCTTCTTATTTCTGACTTTGAAGTAAAGGCTGCACGTTTGCTGGAGTTTTCTGGTAGAAACCCGTCAGCAGTCTTAAGTCATTGGCCCAGGATGGTACGTGCCTTGAGTGACTGAGCAGAGCTGCTGAGCCAGAGCGAAACCCGTGCGATCCCAGAGCTCTCCAGTCTGATGCCACACGGACTCTGGAGACTCTTGAGAACTGGACGCACGAGCCGAGCTGGGGGGACGCGGGACGAGGGGTTGGTGTCGCGGGAAAGCGGGGGGTGCCTCTCTCCTGTCCCGTAACCTCACGCCTCTGGATTTTGTGTCTCGCCCCGCGTCCCGCCGCAGACACCATCCAGCACATAAGGGACAGCAAGCACATCGTCGTGTTCCACAAAGGCCGTTACTTCAAGGTCTGGCTCTATCACGACGGCCGGCTGCTGAAGCCCCGGGAAATCGAGCAGCAGATGCAGAGGATTTTGGACGACCCCTCGGAGCCCCAGCCCGGGGAGGCCAAGCTGGCGGCCCTCACCGCGGGAGAAAGGTGCGCGGTGTCTGTGACCCCGGTGGTGCCTGGGGGCTGCGGGGACCCCTCGTGGTTCTCTCCCTTCCCCGGGGGCTCAGCCGGAGGACAAGTGCCTGTGGGCGACCTGCGGCTGGCGGTGGGGGCGGGGCCAGAGCCTGGCGTCCCCATCCGCGCTGGTGAGTCACCGAGGCCGCACGTGCGCGCGGGTGGGCCTGCGTCCACACGGGGACTGGGGCCCCCGACGGAGAGGAGTCAGCCTGTTTTGTGCGGCCGCGGGCGTATTTAATTTAGGACACGGGACAAGTTTAAACCAAGGCCTCCGCGTCAGGGATAAATTTCCTGCCACGTCTAAAGAGCGTTCAGGGGCTTCTGTTTACTTAAGGAATTAGCTCGGAAACAGAGCTGAGTGTCTCCCAGCCTCGGCTGTGTACACATTGGGCTGGAGAAATCTGTGTCCTGGTGGGGACGTTGGCCCGTGCGTGGGGATGTTAAGCAGCACCCTCCCCCCGCCCTCCGCTACTCCCCCCCTCCCCGGACACCGGCAGCAACCACTTAGTGGCAATGAACACAACTGCCCAGACTTTGCTCGCTGTCACCAGGGGGCAGTATTGTCCCCGGTTGACCAGCACCGGCTTCCGGCGATGGGGCAGCTGCCAGGGCAGCAAGGTGGTGAGTGACCCTTCTCAGAGAAGAGGAAGATGCCCGGGCACGAGCACGCGGAGGGTGGCAGCGGGTCCGACAAGTGGCAGGGGCGTCCGGGGAGCGCACTGCACAATCCGTGCAGGGAGCTGCAGAGGGGGTCGGGGACGCCGGAACACGAGGGGGAGAGGGTTCTGTGTGCCCGCCTACGTTTGGGCTTGATTCTGCTGTTGAAGGGGCCACTAGGCGCCCCGAGCACGTTTGCGAGATTCTTCTGGCCCAGGGGCTCCTGCAGGCAAGGGGGTCCTCCGGCAGGGACGGCTGGAACGGCAGCCTGAGCAGCAGGGGAGGCTCGGTCCCAGAAGCCCCGGGAGTGTTGGGTCATCGCTGGGCTTCGACGGGGCTGTGAGGAACGGCGGTGGACGGTCCGTCCCGGGAAACGAGCTCCCGTCCCACGTGCCCGTGAGCGTCATTGCGCGGGGTGGCAGGCGGGCGGGGTGCGGCCACGGAGCGGGCCTTCCTGGGGTCCCCCACCCCCCGCGGGGCTCAGCGGGCACCCGGCCCCGAGCTCCCCCATCTCACCTCCCGGAGCCCCCGGTGTAGACGCCGAGCGTGTCTGCCGGCCTGTCACCTTCCTGCCCCCTCGCACTGCACCAGGTGCAGAGTAGATGTCCTTGTCACCGTTGTCCCCTGGCAGACACCGACGAGAGCCGTCCGGGCCGGGGAGAGAAGAGGGCGGGAGACAGACCAGGTGACCCTGACCTGGAAGGGTGGGTGGGGTGGCAGACCCGAGGGGGCGCTGAGTGAGGGGCCCAGGAGCAGACCAAGCAGCCACGGCTGGGGCGCCTCTCAGGAAGTGGGTGTCGCATCGGCTGCATGTAGCTCCCGTGTGGCTGGTGGGGAAGAAGAGTCCCTTCACTTGCACTCCCAGGGGCTCCTCTTGTCCCGGGGGTGTCCCGGGGTCGTTCGCAGCACGGACTTGGGCGGGACTTGGGTTTGAAGCTCTCCCTGCCACAAAGTAGCTGTGACCACGTGTCTGTGCCTCAGTTTCCCCCTCTGAAAAACGGGGACGGTCGTGTTGACCAGGGAGCTAGGACAGGGACGAGGTGGCGGTCACACACTTGCGGTGACTTCCTCTCCAGAACTGCTCCAGGATGGGGACCCTGGTGCAGGCGCGAGGGGCGCTTTCTCGGGGTCACTGCCCCGAGGTGGCTGAGCTCATGGGCCAGCCTGTGTTCTTGTCGCACGTGCGACAGTTTGCGAACGGAGATGCGCGTCGAACTCCTGCCCGCAAACGGCACAGCCACCCGCGGGCAGTCGTACCCGCAAAATCCTAAGTGTGCGAGTCCCCTTCGATTCCTAGCAAACTGGGAAAAACGCTGTCATTTTGAACGTCCCGGGTAAGGAGAGGTCCCTGCATTGCCGCGGGCTTACCTCCATTGAACTCTGATTTCAGAGTCCCCTGGGCCAAGTGTCGCCAGGCCTATTTTGGCCGCGGGAAAAATAAGCAGTCTCTCGACGCCGTGGAAAAGGCCGCGTTCTTCGTGACGCTGGATGAAACCGAGCAGGGGTACAGGCAGCAAGACCCGGATGTGTCGATGGACTCCTATGCCAAGTCCCTCCTCCACGGCAGGTGTTATGACAGGTACTGCACCTCCTCTCCCTCCTGAGGGACCGTAGCTCGCCTGCGAGCTTGGAAGGGACGTCACGTGTCACCGCACCTGCCTCCGGTATCTCCGCTCTTCAGGAATAAGGCTCAAGTAAAACACAACTCTTAAGGGGCGCCCGGGGCGGGGGGGGGGGGGGGCTCAGTCGTTAAGCATCCGACATTAGGTTTCGGCTCAGGTCAGGATCTCGCGGTTCGTGAGTTCGAGCCCCACGTCAGGCTCTTCGCTGATGGCGCGGAGCCTGCTTGGGATTCTGTCTCTCGCTCTCTCTCTCCCCTCCCCCCCCAAAATAAAGAAATAAACTGAAAGCACAACTCTTGACTTTCTTCTTTACACCCACACACACACACACACACACACACACACACACACACA